TTCCAAAACAGACGACTGTCACGGAAAATCTCAAGTGATCAAAATTGTCAAGTGTCCGGCATGCAGGATAGTTCCGTGCGCGGGATACGTAAACTACCACTTGCGTGTCTCTCTGCGGCGGCTCGTCGTCGTTTTTGGAACTTGCGACAGGCCGATAATTGTTACAAATAAAAAATGATTCCACACGATGGAAATAAGAAGAAAATTACATCTAATGTTAATTCGGTCTGAAATTATGTTAATTGATTGTAATAAAAAAATATTAATTGTTAAATGCGGACATCGATGCGAATTTTAATTTAAATAGTTTAAGGTTATTATTTATATTTATTTTTATTTTGTACTGAGGATGGTCAAATGGTGACCGAAACGTCTACTATGTACATTGTTATTATTGAATTATAACTTTTTGACATCTCTAGCGTGGCTGTATGCTCCTTTTTACTTAACCTATATAATAAGAGTTTGTGAAGATATGTGTGTTACATTTCTAATCATAATACCATCTCTATTTTCGGGTTATAATAAAAAAAAAATAAAAATCGATAAAAAAAAATTTATATCATACTGAAAATGTCCTGCCCAGTGTTCTTTTAATGTTTCGAGTGTTTCTTCAGTCTGTAATTCCAAATTGCTTAAGCTTTCCTCGAACTTACAAATTAGACACTGCGCCGTATTGTTGCTTGTTATGAAGAAATTATTCAACAGAATATGTTGTGCTCTCATATTTTGTCTTATTACATTTTTATATATATTTGATCTCTTCCCGTGATATATTTCCAAATGGTTTTGTAAGAGATGCACACCACGAACAAATATAATTTGTAATTTACACTTTTGTTTTTTACATATTCCAACGTAATTTTGCATTATTTCAAACTTTTCCTTTAATTCTTTACATCTTGAATGGCCATCTAATTCTGTTAGTCCATGATGGTGTAAGTGTTTTATAAATTTTCTTATGTAGTTCTTGTCACTTTTTTTAAAAACTTTGTTGCAATATGCACATGTTATTTCAAAAAAATAAATAAGAGTTTCGTTTTCTTCGCAATGCCTCTCTAACCACTTTCGACTATAGGCCGTCATTTTTGTTTCGATCGTTCTGTACTGCAGATCACTTAATATTAAACGCGTATTTGAAAAACTATTTACCTTTTTAAAACTGATTATAGAAGGTCGGAGACCTTGAAAGTAAATCTTGTTATACAAGAAGTAAATATTGACATGTAATATATATAATTATGTTCTATAACTGATAATTTGTATTATAAACGAGATTGGATTGAAATAGATTGAAATATATTCAAATTTTCAGAAATACGTGCATATTTACGAACATTAATAGAAGAATAAATCCTTAATCTAATTGCATTTTTATTCGTTCATAGGAATTGCGCATGAAAAAATAATATTTAATAAACTTTTTCTGTGCATTGTGAATACTGCTTAATTCAAATTTCTGAATAAGAAATGCAGTTTTTAAATCGAACTAAGTACAGTTAAATTTTAGCATGAAGAATGGGTAATTAAATATTAATTAAATTATATTTATATATTAATAATTTAATTTTCTGAAAAAATTTATGTTGCATCATTAAAATAAATATAAGAAATATGCGTAAGATTGTCTTATAAAAAATAGAAATAGGCTAGTAAGAAAATGTAATTAATTTTATACAATTAATCATGTAATCATTACTTAATAATATGTGTAAGTTTTTGAAACATTAATTGAATGTATATTCATTTTTTTAAATAACAGATATTTCTTACGGATAATTATCAATTACAATTTTGAATAATCTCTTTAAAACCTAGAATGTTAATTAAAATATATATAAATAACTTTAATCATTATTTCTAGCATTTAAAAAGAAATAAATTATTGCTTGCAAGTGTATAATATTATATATGACATTTATTATGTATTTTATACATACAATTACAGGTATGAAATATCTTTATATACACGTATAATACATTGATACAATAAGATTTCTCTATATATAGGTGCCATAGTACCGCTCCGCGAATTGCGCTCGTAAAATTATGTTCGTGTGAATACTCTTCAGTTATATAAAAATAAAAACTATCATTAAAGTGTGTATATAATCATTTTGTGCCATATATAATTGGACTATTCTAAATAAATTTTTATCAATCAAAAAGAAAAACCTATATCTTTTATATTAAAAACCATCCTTATGTAGACTAGGAAGAAATTATCTACCGTTTTACTGTCAGTTACGAATAGTAGATCTTTTCAAGAAACAAATAAATTGATACTTTTAGGCAATGTCGTGTATTATGCAACTTGTTATTATTATCGTCTAAGGCTTTTTACATTAATTTATTTCGTACCATGATTGTGGGATTTTGTAACTGTGAATTCTTAAAAAAACTATTTTTTAATTAATCTGTTTCTTTCTTTTTTTCACAATAAGTTATCCTTATAACTTATGTATATACTGAAAAATCAAATTCTTTAATACTCTGAAACTTTTTTATGAATAAACCAGCTAATAAGAAATTTGTATTGTTGGAAGGCAATGATCAAAGTTATTAAATAATACTGCATATCAAAATTGCATCATCTCGTTTGAATATATAGATTAGCTTTTGTATCATTTATATTATTTATAAATATTTTTTTACGTATAATTTTATATATTTTTTATATGTATACTTCTATATATTTGCTTTAAAAAATTGATGCACATTCTGAATTGGTATTACGGTCAAATAAATTACAAAAAAATATTTTGCCAATTACTTCTGTATAAGATAATATGGTTAGAATATTTCATATATAGTTACAAATTAAATTATTTTACTAGAAAATGCCATTGATATGAATATAAAGAATACTATAATATAACATCAACCGAAAATTAATTTTGACTTTAAAGACTTTACTTCTGTTTATAAATTTCTAAAAGTATAAGATCTTCAATTCCATATTCAATATTTTAACTTCCTTCTTATAATATTTCAGAAAATAATATTTGAGGAATATGTAACATTTGTATGTACAATAATAATGTTTAATATAAAGCAAAAGTGAAAAATAAAATGAGTTTATACGTAAATAACTTTCGACAGCCAAGATTTGTTACTATACATATTGAATTTCTCGCAACTTTGATACATCTGTATGGTGTCACATATATCTGCGAAAAACAATTGACATTTCCAAACAAATCTAGATAGGGTCATTTTATTTGTCGCTCTTCTTTAGAAATACTCATGCATTGTGTTAATTAAGTATTAAATGTTAGATATTCGAAAATTCATGTTGTCTATACATGAATAATTTTAAAGCAATGGAATCAGTTTCAGATTTTTATCCTGAGTATTTACTATTAGCGCACTATTATACATTTGCAACAATTGATAAGATAGGCCAACATATTAAATATATGCCATGTCATTAAGAAATCCTCAAAAATTAATGATACAATTATATTATTGTTAATATTATAATAAACTACATTAAAAAAATAATTGTATTATATATATTTTAATATAATGGATTGGAATACAACTAGAAGTGTATCTATCTTATAAAAAAAATTGTAATTTACTAAAACCAACCAATGCAGTATGTATTTCAGTGGCAAAGAATATTTATAGGAAAAATTTAGAAAATAAGAATTATAAAAATCTTGACAGGACTTATCAGTATTGTAATAAATGAATATGTACTGTTTATAGCTATCATATTGCACGTTTTGCCATTCATGCAATTGCGTTTTTTTTTAAGTTAAAAATTCGCATTCTCCAATAGTAATAATATATAAATTCCTTTTATGCAATTCTCGATTTTCTCTTTCGTCAATTTATCTAAGCCAGCCATGCATAAAAATAGATATATAATAATATTTTTATCTCTTATATATTAATCACCGTGTGTCATCCATTTAGAGTGGGCGTGTCTGATAAGGAATGAACACGATTGAATCTACGATTTTTCAATGTTGTCATAGCTTCCATGAGATCGGTTCGTTTACTGAAGAAGTCAACTATTACTTGACCGGTTAAAGCAGATGCCAAAAACTGCTCGACGGTAATTGACCAATCGGGATCGGCGGAGGACGTTATACTCGATGGATTTCCATTACGATCGGGTGACTAAGAAGAAGGACATATCAAGTTTATAAATGTACTGCTATAATAAAGAATATCAATTGTCAGTACAAATAAAAATATATACCCTTTCGACAACTGAAGAAGTTTGTTGAGCTGCAGAAGCAGCTAGAAGTAAACTATCGTCAGATTCTTCTTTCTCTATATAGAATTTCTTGCCAACGTCTCCTAATTGGAGTAGAAGTGTACCTATGAATTAGGTATTATTTTATTTAATTATAATTATATATTAAAGATTACTACAATATGAAATTTTTGAATATAGTAATATAAATGTACCTATAGAAGCGATGCAATGATATGTTTCCTGTTCTTCAGGTTGAGCAGGAAACATGTCGTAAAGAGTTTTCCATAATGCTATAAAATGTCCTTGAGACATTTTTGGCACAGTTTTAAGATCCAATGGACTGTCTTTTGATGCTATCATTGAACGTAAACTACCCATACTCTGAACTTCCCATGATTGATCACCTGGTTGGCTATTTAAGCTTGTAGATCGTGATAAAGTGCCTACAGTTGGTTCTTCGGCTATGCTAATTGGCATTTCCAAGGAAGCTACGCTTTGCTCCATATTATCAAAGAAATCCGTAGCTTCTGCTGCCACTTCGGCTCCATCTAACCAATTTATATGTAACACAAAAAGACACATATAAATATGACTTTCATACATATAGTTGAATATCTACCTGCTGAATGTGTTGGAGATTCAAAGTCGGCAGGCGTAAGAAGTGGCGGTAAATGCAACGTATATAATAACTTTAATCTTTGCGTCAAATCAGCTGTTGCTGTCATCCCTATGGCCTGCACCAGTTCCCGGAAGTTTAACAAACCGTCACGATTACGGTCCATTAACTAAAACATTTTTTAAGTAAAATAATTATATAATTAATATTGTTTTCGTTTATAATCAATTCTTGCAAAATATAATGATTTTTTTTAAATTTAGTTTCACTATGCACAATTTTATAATATATGTTAATTAAATCAAGATTAATTTATTTATAGATACTGAACTTACACGAAATAGTCGTGCAGAAAGAGATTCAGCTTGAGTGCATTTTCCCCACGGAGATAGACCACCAAATAATATTCTAAATAAGTCAAAATCTACTTTATATGCTTCGTATGGCGGTTGGGTAGGATCGTAGCGATCAGGTTCGGATTTTCGTTGGCTCATTAGCTCTTCTCTCACTAAACTTAACAATTCCTATATACATAGCACATATAATTAAAATATTTATAATTTTCTTGTACGATTTGTCTATATGGAAGACTGTTCTAAATTACCTGTAACTCTTCCATTTTCATATATTTATCAACAATAACGCTTCTAATTACGTTTTTTTCAATTCCATCTTCGAGACTTTGAACTACCCTCAATCTATGCTTCAGGCGCAATCTTTCTATACCACCAATTGTTAAAGATCCATATCTTGAATACGCTTCATAAATTAACGTTTGAACAGATATACTCTACAATAGCAAATATATTTCAGCTACGTTATAGTCGAAAATTAAATACATGAAATGATCAGAAGATATGTATATTCTTACTTTATTGAGTAATGTACTATCAACTGGTTTAGGAAATATCGGACCTTCATCGTTATAAACACCACCAAGATAATCTGTCAACAGTTGCATGGCTTCTCCGTCATCGCGACAATTAAGTAACTTGTCTTGATTCCATTCCAATACAGTCAATGCTATCTGATAAAGCAGAATAGATTTATTTATTATAAATATCTCGTATCTATTATATGTAACAAGTAATTTGATTAAATTTAAAAATTTAAATAAATTGAAATAAAATAAAATAAATTTGTTAAGGAAAAATGTCAAAATAAAAAGAAAATTTATGTTAAATTTATTTATACAATATAATTTAATTTATACAATAAAAACTTTCCATACAATAATCTTTAAAATTTATCAAGAAT